GCACACACAATAGATCTTTAAGGTCGCAGTGATTAACCTCCCCTCTCACTCATTCTACATTCTACATTCTACGTTAGGATTAGATTTTCTTCATGTCTTCTCTTGGAACAGTTGGAATGATGAAAACCAGCTTTTATACAAGGTCGTCCAGAGGGTGGTGGTTTGTTTGGACGTTTCTCTTTAGCAATTTTCGCTAGCCGGTCATTTGTCCCTCTGAGCTATACTATTAGACCACTTTGGCAGTCTACTATTAGACTACCTACATGACGAAGACAAAGACTCGCTTGGTCTTAGTCTTGCATCTGCTTTCACTACTGATGTGTAGGTATGGAAATGTATGAAGCACTGATGGAAGCGTCTTGTAGTACCAAGATCTAGTTGTAATAACATGGCTGGCTTTGCAAAGAAATTAAGCAGTCTAAAACAGGACAAATGCAGTTCGTGAAGTTTTGACAACAGTTAAATGCCGAAAACTATCATACCTCGGCAATGTTCTCAGAGGAAATCGTTACCGGATCCTACAACTTATAATGAAGGGCAAAATAGATGAGCGTAGGAAGGAAACGAATCTCCTGGTTGAGGAACAATCCGGGAATGGACAGGCATACATAGTCCCGAACAATTGTTTAGAGTGGCTGAAAACAGGGATCAGCTTGCCATCGTGATTGCCAACGTCACGGAGATTATCGCTAGCTACTCTAATTTTGGAGTTACGACTTTTTAAAATTTTTAACCTCCTCCCATACCCCCTTACCAACCCCCCACCGCCACCAAAAACTAATAGCCAGATTCTCGGGTGCCACAGTATTTTTGTGTCAAATTTGGTTAAAATCGGTTTAGCAGTTTTTGAGTTATCGTGTTACAGATGGACAGACAGACTGACACCATGAATATATGTTGTATTTAGGTCATTTATGACCCAAATAACTCATTTGGAGTGAAATTAGAAAAAAAAAATTTTGCCGATCTTAATAGCCTACCATACCTACCTATTGGTATGGTCGGCTAAAAATATCAACAAAAAATAGCCTAAAATTTAAATATATGGTTATTAGAGAGAATCTAAGAGATAATTATGTCCATTAAGGTATATCTTTATCGGGGCGTTATTTTCTTTCAGAAATATAAATACACTTCTTCACCCAATGTCACACCAATGAATTAACCCGTTTGGGGGCTCTTAACACCATCACGCAGACGAGGAGTTCGTTAAAATATTTGTAGGCAATTATACAAAGCGTTATCGAGGACCGCCGCCCGAATTGTTAATTAGACAACTCGGCTATTAACCGGTAAGGGTTTCGGCTTCTGTTTCGGGAGGAACAGAGACAAATATCGAATGAGGAATCCGTAAATTTAGAAACAGAAGTTCGTATCCTTGGAAAATTACCTGCAGATGTGCTGGCCAGGTACCACCCTCGGGTTTCTTTAACGAGATGTTGAGAAAAATATTTATTCTTTTATATTGTTTTCCAAGTTATAAAGCCTGTAATTGTAAATATAATTATGATTACTTTTGACGGTACAACTACAATTTTATTATAAACTAACCTTGTTTATGTCCTCCATTTGAATTCAAATTTATTTGCATTGAAATACAGTTGAAAATATTTAAAGTTGGCTGGTTAAAAAAGATTGAAAGTCAGCAATGGGGTCAGGTTTTTGAAGACTAGCATAATATGACGTTTCAACGAAAAGAAGTTTTGCTCTTCTTTTTTTGTCCACTAATATAACATCATACTATCTTTTGAATGTACCTGATTTGGTACGTGTCATCAGTAGATTCGTAATTTGCAGTTTATATTTGAGATATGAGTTTATCAAAACGTCAATGATTTTAATAAATGTGTCATTGGTATAACTAAAGTATTTTTGAAGTATAGTTGCATTTAGGCATTTTAAATAGTTTTTCTTTATTTAATTTTGCCTCTGACGACAGGGATAGAAAAACTCTCAAAACTTTAAGAATTTTTTGTTGGTTAGGCAAATTTGATTACGAGTAAAAAGCCAGTAACACGCTGACTTGTATTTTTTTATTTTACTTATATTTTTTTATTTTGAGATTCCTGCTTAAGTGGTAAAATAGGCAAGCTTTTTTCGGGATATCTATTAAGTACGTATTTTGTTGTTGTAATACCAAAGATACCAACCACCCAACTGTAACCTATTATGTACTTTAATTTAGTTCAAAAAAAAGTTCAACTTATTGTTCTAATCTTCGGACATATCAGCTTCTTGGTCAGCTTATTCTTTCTTTCCTTTTTTCTTAAAATATATCAGATCTGGATAGATATGAGGAAGATTGGCATCGGCTACTTTTTATTAAAATTAGGTAACTTTTCTTTTTAGTTATTTCTTTTGGTAACTCTACTATACGGTATGTCCCCGGATTGCCTCTACTAGAGGAAAAACTTTTCTATTATTAACTTTTTGAGAAAAATGCATTGTTCGTAAAAGTTTTTGCCTTTTCTAAAACGGTGAAACCTGTTTATACTGCTCCAAATTTGTATACCGTTTTAGAGATTAATAAAAAAGATATATGAAGTCCCGAAAATCGAAACACCTTTCTATGGTAAAATAATTTTTAGGTTTTCATTCTTTGATAGATGTTATTATTAATATTGATTAACGTCATAGCTTTTGCTGTTTTAATATATTAAAGAAGCACACAATTTATTAGGTTCGATGCTAAGGAAATGGTGATTATAAATTATGTAATCATTTATATATAATATTTTAAAATAGCAAAATATATTACGTTAATCAAAATTAATACTATCTATCAAAAAATGAAAACGAAATTATATACTTTTAATTTTTAGGACTTGAAAAACAAATGGGATTAACATTTCCAAACAAACAAAATCTTTTGTGAAGAAAGCATTTTCATCAAAAAGTTAATAACAAGAAAGTATTTCCTCTTGTAAAAACAATCTTAGGACATACTATACATACAGTATGTCGCCGAATTGTCTTTATCTTACTACTTATTGTCTTACTTTAAGAGGAAAAACTTTTTTATTATTGACATTTTGCGAAAAATGCATTCTTCATAAAAATTTTTGCTTGTTATAAAATGGTTAATCCCGTTTATACTTTACCAAATTTCCATACCGTTTTAGAGAAAATTAAGAAAAACATGAAAATTTGGTTGAATTTTTTCAAAGCCCTAAAAATCAATTCTATGATTATATAATTTCGATCTCAATCTTTGACAGATGGTTATTATTAAATTTGATTAACGTCATATTCTTTGCTGTTGTTAAAGTATCATATTTTGCGATAACTATTATCACCCTTACCGTAGCATTGAAATAAATAAATTTTGTACTTCTTTAACATTTTAAAACAGCAAAAAATGTTATGTTAATTAAAATGATATGAATATCAATATATCAAAGAAAGAATGTGAACTTATATTACCATAGAAACGCCTTTTGATTTTTAGGAGTTAGAAGTTGTCGGAAATTGTACAGGGTGGACCATTTTGGTTGTTTCTATAGGCTATCTAGGAAACCGTAAGAAATATTCAAATTTTGATACAGCAGTCTCGGGTTCTTTTTTTGAAAAAATCACAATGCCGCAAACGGATCATAGCTATCTTGATCGGTTTCGAAGCTACAGGGGGATTCTCAAATTTTGTACTTTTTGAAGATGTTAGATAGTTTGTTTATTTCAGCTACTACGCAAAAATTAATTATACATTCTAAAGGAACTTCTCTGTGTAGAATACAGTGGCGTAGTCAGACTTTTTTCGAAAAAAATATTTTTAGATATTAACTATAAGTACTTCTATTTTTTTTTAATAGAACCCCCTGTATATTTTTAAATTTCCTGATTCAGCTTGGCATGGGCTTCTCGAAAATATATAACACTCTATATTTATTTTCACTATTAACCTCAACATTTCAAATTTTTCTTAAAATATCCAGTTAGTAGTAGGCCGCGCCGAGTAACAAGGTAAACGGTTGTCATGGTGATCGGGACATACCTTTGATGGATGCGTGACATTTCATTTCAAAAGATTGAAGTGTGTGTATTTTAAATAATAAAAAACATTTTCAGAAATATAATATGTTAGAATGTTATATTGAGGGGTATTTTTGAGCGCGAGCAATTAAACCCAGCCATTTTTAATGGCCAGAAAAGGTCAGAAAATAGTATAATAGTTTAATTCACCTAATATCAATCCCTTGGACTTCTTTATCTGGGTCTTTCTGAAAAACGAAATTTATCGAAATGCAAATAGAACATTAGAAGAGTTACAAGATAGTTTTGTTGTGGCTTTGCAAAGTGTAACCAACATACGCATTCGAAATGCTGTTAGCGGTGGCGTGCAGAGACGGTGCCAACTCCGTCTAGATAATAATGGGCAGCAGTTTGAACATTTAATGTAGTCTTTGTGTTTGAAGCCCGATTGAAGTAACCTGTTGAGTTTGTATTAAAATATGTTCTTTTGTTTCCGTCGCACTTATTTCTTATTTGCTTTGTATTGTTCGAATTTATTTAATTGCTAATACATGGATTCCGCTGAACTCCGCTAAACCAGTCCCAAGCCTGGGGCCTTGTCACGCAAGAGACAAGGAAGGAGGAGGGATCGAGGAGTAACACCTCGCAAAAAAACCTGGGTTCAGCTGGCTCCGGCTGATAGCACCCTGTGAGGGCCCCTTGTCCAGGGTTACGGATGAAGCCCACACCGGCGGTAAAGGCGTAGAAGAAGATCTTCGATGCGGCGGACCCGGCGAAAGTGGCAACCCTGCTTTTGAGGGATAGTATGAAAGCACCGAACGACGATAGCCGAATAAGCTATCCCCCTCAAGCTGTCAACGGCCTCTTTCTTAGAGGGCGGAGGAACAGCTGAGGCAAGGGCACCCTTTTGTCCTGGGGTTGAGAAATCGACCCCGAAGGCGGATGAACAGCAATGTCAACGGTATGAGGATACGGAAGGCAACGGGAAACCACCGTATTAAAGGCTAGTAAGCATCCCTAGTATAACCACTATGTCAAGTACAAGAATGAGAGATGTTACTGATCATGGAATACGGAAGCCAAGATCCGGCAGGGGAGGAATATCACGATTAGACCACGGGGCCTCCCAGGTCGTCATCCAGAGAAATCCCCGTGACAGGAGAACGAATAAGAACGCAACTATCTTAAAGACTGACAAGAGTAACAAGAAGAACAGGAGTAATACGACTTTAACTCGCATTGCAACGTGGAACATCAAGACCCTCTATAAAACTGGAAAGCTAACAACCGTTGCTATTGAGATGCGCAGAATGGGCATAGAAGTCCTTGGTCTCAGCGAAGTTAGATGGCCAAATGCTGGAGAATGTAATAGCGATAATGTGGTACTGTACTATTCTGGATGTCAGAACGGCGAACACCAACATGGAGTGGGTATTATGATAAAAAAAGAACTCAAACAATATGTTGCTAATTTCGTGCCCTATAATGAAAAAGAATGATGCTGATCCAGTTGCGTAAAAGCCTATAAACACCAACCTGATACAGGTATATGCTCCCACAGCCGACAGCGATGAAGAAACTATAGAGAAGTTCTACTCAGACCTAAACGAGCTAACTAAAAAGTTGAAGAAACATGAAATTAACGTGATAATGGGGGATTTCAACGCTAAGGTTGGCAAGGGAAGGATCGAGAATACTGTTGGTGGCTTCGGACTGGGAGATAGGAATGAGAGAGGGGAACGACTCATAGAGTTTTGTCAGGAGAAAGATTTAGTTATTGCGAATACTTTTTATGAGCTACCACCTCGACGACTCTATACTTGGACATCACCAAGAAGTAGCAAAGAGAAGATCATAAGGAATCAAATTGATTTCATTTGTGTCAACAGACGGTTTAGGAATAGCATTGAGAGTGCTAAAACCTACCCAGGTGCAGATGCGGACACTGACCACGAATTGCTTGTAGCCAACGTAAAAGTGAGACTAAGGAAGCTGCAAAGGATAATAAAACCGAAGATAATAAACACAGAAAAGCTCAAACAACAGCAGTATCAGAAGGAGTTTAACGACTCAATAGCAAGTGAGTTTTTGGAAGCATCAGCGACAAATATCGACATGGCCTGGGACCAAATCAAATCTACAATGTTGACTGCCGCGGACCAAGTTGTAGGCAGAAGAGAACATAATACGAAAAACCCCTGGATGACACAGGAAATCATAAACCTTATAGAGGAAAAGCGTAAATACAAAAACACTGACCCGCAAAAATATAAACAATCAAAAAGACAAATAGAACACCGCATAAGAAAAGCCAAAGAGACATGGATGGAGGAGAATTGCCGTGAAATGGAACAACTGAACAATAAACATGATTATTTTAATCTACATAAAAAGTTAAAGGAATTAACTGGAAATAAAAAAAAAGAATACCGATGATCACAAGAAACGCACAGGGAGATATACAGTTAACAGAAGAAGGCAAAAGACAAACTTGGAAGGAATACATTGAACATCTATTTGCAGCAAGACGAGATGACGTCAGAGATGAGAGCAACCAGGCGGAACAGCTATGTATTTTAAAATCAGAAGTGGAGTATGCTATAAAAACATCAAAGAGCAGAAAAGCGACCGGACCTGATAATATACCAATAGAATTCTTGAAGGCCTTAGACGATAGAAACTTAACTCAACTCACAATAATGCTCAATAAAATTTACGAAACAGGAGAAATCCCAAAAGACTGGCTTAAATCGGTCTTCATCCCTCTGCCTAAAAAGAACAACCCCAAGTCCTGTGATGAGTATCGGCTAATCAGTTTGATGAGTCATACTCTGAAGGTACTCTTGAGGATAATCCAACAGAGAATATATCGAAAATGCGAGGAACAACTGGATGAGACGCAGTTTGGCTTTAGAGAAGGTCTGGGAACTAGAGAGGCTTTATTTGCCATCACAGTAATGCTACAGAAATGTAGAGAATACAATAAAGATGTGTATGTCTGTTTCATTGATTTTCAAAAGGCCTTTGATAAAGTCCAACACGACAAACTTATAGAGAACTTAAAGAGCATCAAATTGGACCCAAGTGATATACAATTAATAAAAAATATCTACTACAATCAAACGGCAGTGGTTCGAGTTGGGGACATCGAGACTGATGAAGTCGAGATTCAAAAAGGAGTTCGCCAGGGCTGCGTTCTATCACCACAACTGTTCAATCTATACTCTCAGTTTGTATTTCAAAAAGCACTTTACGAGAGACCTGAGGGAGTAAACATTGGAGGGACATTGATTAACAACCTAAGATTCGCCGATGATACTGCCATAATGGCGGAGAGTGCAGAAGATCTTCAAACCCTGTTGGAAGGAGTCAGTCGAGAGTGTGAAGAAGTGGGACTTGCTATAAACACGCAGAAAACTAAAATGATGGTCATAAGCAAAAACCCAAATATTAACCCTATTCTGACAGTAAATGGGAACCGAATAGAGCAGGTCCAAAAATACAAATATCTCGGCTCTACCATAAATTCTGAAATGGACCCTGATCAGGAAATTAAGATCAGAATTGAAATGGCTCGAAATGCATTTATGAAATATTCCACATTGCTCACAAACAGAAATTTAAACCTTGTCATCAGGTTGAGATTCGTGGAGTGTTATGTGTGGTCGGTGTTAATGTACGGAGTAGAAACTTGGACGCTGAAGACTCAAATGATTAAAAAGCTCGAAGCATTTGAGATGTGGCTCTATAGGCGCATTCTGAAGATACCTTGGACTGATAGAATAAGCAACGACGAAGTGTTGAGACGCATAGGCCGAAAACGAAAACTTCTCACAATCATTAAGATAAGAAAAACATCTTACGTGGGACACATATTACGCAGTGACAAATATCTACTGTTACAAAATATTATGCAGGGCAGAATTGAGGGGAGGAAGGGTATCGGCAGAAAGAAAAAATCCTGGCTCCGAAACATTAGAGAGTGGACAAATCTTGGCGTTGGAGAATTGTTCCATGTTGCAAAAGACAGAGAAGAATTTAGAAAAGTGGTCGCCAACCTTCTATGAGAAGACGGCATGGAAAGAAGAAGACATGGATTAATTGGAAAGTAGATATTCGCTTGTTTCCTTTAATACTCGGCATGACCTACCAAGAGGAAAGTCGATATCTTTAAATAAATTGGAATTGTATAGTTAATAGTGAAAATAAATATATAGTGTTATATATTTTCGAGAAGCCCATGCCAAACTGAATCAGGAAATTTAAAAATATACAGGGGGCTGTATTTAAAAAAACAAAAGTATAGTTAATATCTAAACAAATATTTTTTTCGAAAAAAGTGTGACTACGCTACTGCATTCTACACAGAAAAGTGCCTTTAGAATGTTTAGTTCATTTTTGCGTAGTTGTTGAAATAAACAAACTATCGAACATCTTCAAAAAGTACAAAATTTGAGAATCCCACTGCAGCTTCGAAACCGATCAAGATAGCCACGATCTGTTTGCGCCATTATGATTTGTTCAAAAAAAAAGAACCCGAGACTGCAGTATCAAAATTTGAATATTTCTCACGGTTTCCTAGATACCCTATAGAAACAACCAAAATGGTCCACCTATATTTTCATGTTTTTCTTAATTTTCTCTAAAACGGTATAGAAATTTGAAAAAGTACAAACGGGATTAACCATTTCAGAAGAAGCCAAATTTTTTATAAAGACTGCATTTTTCTCAAAATGTCAATAATAAAAAAGTTTTTCCTCTTGTAAAGACAATCCGGGAACATGTAGAATGTAAGGAGGAATGGGAGTCCTCGAACTGTCTAAGACACTCGAAAAAGTTCCTCAGAACTTACGACCGAGGAAAATCAGATTTTCCTTGAGTTAAGTAAATACAATCTCCGGATCGTCACGGGACTCCTAACAGGACACTGTCTCCTCAACGAACACCTCAATAGGCTGAAGCTGAGGAACAACGGCGAATGCAGATTCTGTGGGGAAAATGGAAAAACACCAGAACACCTTAACACTGAGTGTGCCGAGACGACGACCGTTCGTGCCATGAACTTTGGTACGGCTGATGGGGGATGGGGAATTGGCCTCCGTGAAGCCGTCTCAGATACTGACTTTTGTTAAAGCCCTGAGACTGTATGATGAGTTATAACTCGTTATAACTCAAGAAAGGGGAACATACAAGAGACCTGTAAGGTCGCGGTTAGTAACTCCCCTTCTGAACATTCTACCCATCCGGGGACATACTGTATATAGTTCGCTGAATCTTAATAAAATATGTTACTAAAAATTGCCGAAACACAGAAGAACGAATGTACGATCAAATTAAGTAGACGTTCAAAAGGTGTTACCATTACAAATGCCCCCGAGTCGCTACTGATTTCAAACTACGAAAATAAATAGGTCTAAAACATCATCTTCATATAAACGCAATAAAATCAGCTCCGCCACTGGAAAGAATGTTCACGCAGTGTCAAATTACTTGAGAAAATTTATAGTTAGAAATAACATAATTACACACCTGCCTTGCCTTTCAGGGAACATTATAGAGAAACAAATTCCAATTTTGTAAATAAAGAAATTCAATTAGTTGGAACAAAAATGTAAGCGTTACATAACAACTGTCCGTAATGTGCTCGAGTCTTCAGAAATATAAATTTCGACTAATTATCTCAATAATTAACACTAAAAGTGTTTTTCCTTTCTCTTAATGGCATCTGCCTTGAATACGTCCATATTTGCGTAAGCTTAAAAGGTTACCTTATGAGAAAATACGACTTGCTAACCAGTAGACTAAGACATTTAAAAATACAAATTTCTCCTCATCACCTTAGATTGGAGCGTAATATTTGAAATATTTTAATTTAATTTATAGAAAAGTATCTATAATAGCTATTTATGTAGCAAGTTGTGAAATGAATGTCTTTTAAGCACGGGACGTAAAATTGCGGCACCTATCCTAGCACCAACTTTAGAGGATCTCCAGCAAATAATAAATAAGTTAGAGGACATGGGAAATCGTTTAGGTCTTAAAATGAACACCGCATTGACGGTGGATGGACATATTATAGAGCGAGTACCACGATTTAAATATCTAGGTGCCATGATCAATGAACGATGGGACTGCGATGAGGAAGTTAAACTTAGAACGAATTTTGCAAAATCAACATTTTTCAAACTTAAAAACTTCCTATTAGCACGCAGTCTCCCGCTAGCACTTAGACTACTGGTAGTAAAATGCTACATATGGCCCATTTTACTATACGGCGCAGAAACGTGGTCTCTCGAGGCTAGAATCCTGAACCGCATCGACGCCTTCGAAATGTGGACTCTCCGGAGTTCGCATGGTCCGCACATGCCACCAATGAAGAAGTTTTAAGAACTGCAAGCTACGAACGAGAAATGCTTAATATAGCTAAAAAAAGAAAAGTTTCATACCTCGGCCATATCCTTAGAGGAGACAAATATTACATTCCTAAACTAATTCTACA